TAGGCACACAGGTACTTGGAATCTGGCACCCAGAGCACCTGGTACCCCAGGAGATCTGGCACCCCTGGCACACCTGTTTGAGACCTGTCACCCAGCACCCCTGCAATAGCCCGAACCTGGCACCCCAGCACACCTCCTGCACCCAGCCCTAGCACCTACAGGTTACTCACTGTCCATCAGTTCACTGTCTGGAGTAGAGTTGCTTGACTGTTGATCATGGCACTTGAGTGCCTGCCAAACTAGCTAAAGTACTCAGGACGCCTCTCCTGTGCTGCAGCACACGCCCAACCACCACGTCACAGTAGCTGCGCAGTTCTGAAACATCAAACGATCCAATTCGCTTTCTCTTCTTACCACTCCATATCACTAGTAGGTAAGAAACCATATATATCTTTTACCTGTATATATTGCCCAACATAAAATAAACAAAAGGCAATAGCCACTATGCAAGAATGTACACATTGCTTAATGTACTCACGGCTGAGAGTACAGTATACACAACTCAGAGTACACACAGCTGAATGTACAGAAAACAATGCACAGTACACTCATCTGAGAGTACACCCAGCTCAGAGTACACGCAGCAGGATGTACACACTACTGACCGCTGTTACGGTCAGGTTTTTGTTACCAATTAATCAACTTGTCAAAGGTAACTTTTATAACATTAAATTCATAATCATCAGACTGATAACCATGCCTCTAGGGCTAGATCTGAGGGTAAGCCAAATTACCAAAATAAATATCACTTAGTCTTATAATTATGTAAGTAAAATAGCTCATTATTTTTTATGATGATAAATCAAACAAAACATTACAAAATTAATATTTTTTTACTAACACACATACACACATAATATATATATATATATATATATATATATATATATATATATATATATATATATATATATATATATATATATATATATATATATATATATATATATATATATATATATATATATATATATATGCTGATAACCACAAGGAAAGAAGAAAACACGAAGTTCCCAAGCGCTTTCGTGTAATTCACATCTTCAGGGGTGAGTACAGACTAGAGAGAGTAATACAAATCAAGGTGTATATATACAGAGGAGGGTGAGACCAGGTCCACAATGGTCAGGTATTAGGTAATGACCTTACTAATCTTTAAATAGCACACAACGGTTGGTGGTCAGGTCAGATGGTCAAGTGACCCGGCCTTCTCACCTGATCACAAATCTTCTTAATTACAAAATTGTCCAGCTTGTACATGCCGTTACTCAAATTCATGTTGGATGCTTCGGTATGTTTAATAAGACTAGATTCTATGATGTTCCTACTATCAATTGAATTACATGGTAATATTGAGGAGGCATTATCCCAGTCAATGCAATGCTTGTTATCCCTCAAATGAACAAACAGAGCATTGGATTCCTGGCCTGTCCTAACACTGTATTTGTGTTGTTTAATTCTAGTTGCAAGATCTTTACCTGTCTGGCCTAAGTAAAACATATTACATTCCTTGCAAGGAACTTTATAAATGCAACCAATTGTGTTGTTGGGGGAGTTCTTGATTAACATTTGTTTAACAGTGCATGAGTTTTTAAATGCCACATTGACGTTCCAGGTTTTTAGCTGTGCAGGAATGTGTGAGAAATTTTTGTGAAATGGTAATATTAAGATATTCTTATGGTCATGGGTGGGCTTGGGGTCAGTTCTATAAAAAGTTTTCTTAGTAATGTTTAAGCATTTGTCTATGAAAGATCTAGGGTATTTAAGGTTTGAGCCAATATTATATATATATTTGTATTCCTCATCGATGAATTCCGGACTGCAAATTCTCAAGGCACGTAAAAACATTGTTGAAAATACTGACTGTTTGACTTTATTATGGTGGGCAGAATAATAATGAATGTATGAACACACATTAGTTGGTTTTCTATAAATACTGAACTTAAAAGTGTTACCTATTCTGTGTATCAGACAGTCTAGGAATGGCAATTTACAGTCTTGCTCTAATTCCACAGTGAATTTGATCGAGGGGGCTAAGTTGTTAAGTTGTGGTAGGAAAGCTTTTAGGTCCTCATTACATGGCCAGAGACATAATACATCATCAACATATCTAAACCAGACTGCTGAGGGTGGTAAAATATTACTTAATAGTTTCTTTTCAAAGAATTCCATATATAGGTTGCTTAATACAGGTGAGAGTGGATTACCCATTGCCATACCAAATTTTTGAGCATAATATTCCCCATTGAATTCGAATTTGCAATCCTTAATACATAGTTTGATGAGTTCGATGAAGTCGTCTTTCGAGACGGGCAGTGAAATGTTATCCAGGGAATCTATGAGGAACTCTAGTAAATCATCAACTGGGACCTTTGTAAAGAGTGACGTTACATCAAAGCTGACCAGTTTAAAATCATGATTAATGTGTAAGTTATTGAGTTTATCAACCAGATCCGTATTATTCTTGATATTGGAGTTAGAAATGTTGCCAACTAGGGGATTTAGTAAAGAAACTAACCATTTAGATAGTTTATAAGAGATTGACCCAACTGAGCTAATGATGGGTCTTGCTGGGTTATTGGGCTTGTGGGTCTTGATTACACCGTACATGTATGGCAGTGGAGGGGACGTTGAAGTAAGATGTTTAATGAGCGTAGCTTTGCCTCTCAATAGGGACTTCAGTTTTTTGTTGAACTGGGTGTTGACAGTGTTGAGAGGATTATTTATAAGTTTAGAATATGTTGTAGTATCACATAAGAGGTCATTCATTTTAGAGATATAGTCATCTGACCTGACCACCAACCGTTGTGTGCTATTTAAAGATTAGTAAGGTCATTACCTAATACCTGACCATTGTGGACCTGGTCTCACCCTCCTCTGTATATATACACCTTGATTTGTATTACTCTCTCTAGTCTGTACTCACCCCTGAAGATGTGAATTACACGAAAGCGCTTGGGAACTTCGTGTTTTCTTCTTTCCTTGTGGTTATCAGCATATACCTAGATCACGCGCACCTACAGTGATTTACTTGCATATATATATATATATATATATATATATATATATATATATATATATATATATATATATATATATATATATATATATATATATATATATATATATATATATATATATATATATATATATATATATATATATATATATATATATCGGGGAAGAGGTGAATTAAGGTTAATAAATGGTGCTCCACAGAAGAAAATTTGGATCTCAGGCCGCGAATGTTGGAAAAATGAAGTGTGAAAAAAGCCGATTCTCAAACAACCGCGGTGACGTCAATTGACGCCCCAGTAGTTTGATGATGATCAGGTCGGCCTTGGGGTTCACAACGTTACCGACTAGTGAGACCCATCCGAGATGGCCCCGCTTTAATATTAGGAGAATAACAAAATAAAACATATCTAGCCATGGTGACATCTTAATAACAGGGCCATGGTCTCACCTTAATAACAGCAGCGCCATGGTGACTCACCTTAATAACAACAGGGCCATGGTGACTCATCTTAATAAAAACAGGGCCATGGTGACTCACCTTAATAACAGCAGGGCCATCGTAACTCACCTTAATAACAGCAGGCCCATGGTGACTCACCTTAATAACAGCTGGGCCATGGTGACTCACCTTAATAACAGCTATCTCCTCGTGACTCTTGATCATACGCATCTTCATGGTGCCATTGGAGACGTCGACCAGTTTGTTGCTGTGAGGGAGGTGGTGTTGGAGGGTGCGTGAGGCATGAAGGGTGAGGTGGTCATACTCCACCCCCAGAGGTCCCCGCACCTCACCCAACTCCTCCACCACCGCTCTGAAGTAGTTTTCTCGCTGCCAATCCGTGTACACGATGTTATCCTGCGGACACTCAGTAGATGATTTCGTGCCAAAACTTTATATAAAACAAGGACCTCTCACAGGCAGTGACCATCTGCCAATTATACTAACACTGCCAACAAGCCCCATATAGATACCAATAAAAGAGGCTGAAAATGAGCAAAACAGACTGGGACAGCTTCAAAGACGACTTAGGTAATCACCATTCGATTAACCTACAAGGGAAAGCAACAGAAGACATAGACTCAGAAATGGACAGACTGCACTCAGCAATAAAAACATCTATAACCAAACACACTCCTACTTCACACTTTAGAACATTACCCAACAACAGGCTAACAGAAGAAGTTAAATTAATCCAAACCCATTACAATGCAATAAACAGGTATAAGGAAAGACACGGCATTAACATATGGCTATATACGACGCATACAGCACTGCAGATAAAATTGAGAGACGCATGGAAGGAAGCAAACAACAAAAAATGGAATGATATTATAATGGCGGCCGACAAGACTAAAGACACAAAAACATTTTGGACTTCCTTAAACAAGATGATTGGGTACAACAAGCAAAAAACACCATACATTAAAGACCAAAATGGAACAAAACTGTACGAGGAAAATGAACAAGAGTCAGCATTCAAAAGGGAATGGGTAAAGTTTTTAAAATATCAGATGAGGAAAATGAAGATTTTGATAGTGAACACGAAGAAAGGAAAGAAGACGAAATGGGAAGACAAATACATAGAATCACCCCAAAGCAATATATAGACTATAACTTACTACCTAATAATAAAATAATAACTATGGGAGAAATGATGCACTGGCTGAGGAAGTTTAAAGAAATGGCCCCCGGTCTCACGGGTATTACACGAAATATGATCATAAATCTACCTGAAAACAACTTAAAAACACAATTAAACATTTATAACGCATGCTGAATAACCGGTTACTTTCCAGACAAACTAAATTATGCCAAAATGATATTTAATCCCAAGGAGGGTAAGGACAATAAGGAAATATTAAATTACCGTGAACTACTGGAAAAAATGTTAAATTCGAGACTTATAACCTTTTTAGCACAACAGGGGAAAACTAACAATAGACAACATGAATTTATGCCCAATAGAAATACCCTAACTGCAATAGCTACAATAACGGAAATAATTGCAATAGAAAAAAGCAAGGGGAACCACATCAATATAATTTTAAGGGACGTTTCTAAGGCTTTTGATAAACTTTGGCATTTAGGCTTAAAATATAAAATATTAAAATTGGGACTTAACGAACACTTGCTAAGAATATTGTGTAACTATTTAGATGATAGGAGAGCACAAATTCAAATTGGAAACTTTATGGGAACTATGTTTAATCTTGAGAGTGGAGTACCTCAAGGAGGATGCCTTTCTCCAACACTATATACAATTTATACCTCACACACACCTCAACCCACCCCCTTTAGCGAATATGTAATGTTTGCTGATGATATTACTCAAATAGTATCATACCCAAGAAAATCAACCCAATTTATGGCACTCTACACGGTACGAGCGACAAAAAATATAAATGACTGAGAAAAAATGGAAAATCAGGACAAATAAGAACAAATTCAAGATAATACCAATAGCCAAGATGAAAAGAAGTTCAGTAATAGTCGACCAGGAACTATACCCATACGACACTGAAGGCAGGATGCTTGGACTAATACTAACAAAAAGAGGATATATAACACAAATATAAGATAAAGAACGACAGGCAAGAATAAGAGTATCAAAAATAAAACGTTTTAAGAACCTTAGCATTAATAACAAAAGAAAGATGTATATATATAGCCTTTGTTAAATCAATTATGGACTACCTACTAGGGTGTGTCATAGGAGGGAAGATCAGCTAAAACTAATGGCCCATTACTTTTTTGGTAGATTTTAGTGTATATAAACAGAAAATGATTTCAGTTTCAATATTTTGCAACCTTTTGCTAGGTAAATTTTAGCGTGAAATTTATCGAAAATCTAACGTACAGCTGCATTAGTGCATTACAATTAAATAGTGAACATTGCTTTCTGACTTCATTCTTTAACAACCCAACTAACAATATTTTTTTCTGTTTCAGATTCTGATGCATTTATAAGTTGATAATATTTGCGATGGCTGCTTGTGTCAGGACGAGGAACCAAAAATCCAGCCATCTCAGTCACTATCCTGGGTCTGGGAGAGAGCTCCTGAAGTCGAGTTGCCTTCTACATTGAGAGATGCTTTGAGATGCGGTGTTTAATCAGGCAAATCAGTGAAAAGAACCAAGAACTTACACAAACCGAGAACGTGCCAGTGATGCCTTGACCAAAGCTGTCTTGGCACAGTACACTCTGGCTAACGCTCAGTTCAAGCCTCCAGTCATAACAAGTCAGAAGAAGATTAGTGAGAGACTGCTAGCCAGTTGGGAAAAGGCATGAGATATCTCTCTTGGGAGAGGAAAACTTGCAGTTAAGGACAGCTTTGCCAAGCAACTGGACCAGTTATTTGACATAATTACTTGCAAGTGCCCAATTGTTCTCTGTCCTGAGTTTGGATGCGATCGTGACTGTAAATCCGAGGCCCACATTTCCTGTATTTGCAAGCGTGAACTGAAGATTCCTGTGATCGAACTGGCATTTGTCAAAGCACAGAGAGAGAAGACTGGCAGTATAGGGGCTCTCATGATTTCTAGCCAAGATATTCTGGAGTCCAAGAGACAGGAGGCTGCCACAGAGAGACAGAAGAGGAGAAGAGTTGCCGAGAAAAAGAGACTTGGGAAGGCCCAGGGTGAGGTAAAAAAGGCCGATGATTGGAGTCAAGCTGATTCAGAGTTTAATGACTTCCCCATGACTGATCCGAGTGCTGACCAGGAGAATGGTGACTTTGTCCCTAACCCAGAAAATAATGATCCCAAACCTTCCATGCATAAGATTCGAAATAGGAAAGATATCCCGAGCATAGCTCTGGCCAGCATGCGACACCACACTGGTCTCAGAGAAACTGCAGAGATAACAACAGCTGCCTGGATTGACGGTGGTTTGATAACACCTGATGATGTTCACCTGGTGATAGATCATAACAAAGTAAGGAGAGCTCAGGAGAAACTTGTCAGTAACCTAGAAGAGGAGTTTGATAAGGGGATAAGAGAAAATGGAATCAATTGTTTGCCTTGATGGAAGAAGGGATGGACACCGTGCGGTTCTAAGTGGTGCTTTTCTGGAGATTCCCGGACAAGTTTGTTCCTTGCCAGTGGGTGGAAGGAAGAACACTCTCACTCCTTGCCGGCAGTGGAACCAGGGAGGGAAGTGATTTTGTGGCATTCACTCCAGAGAAAAGATGACATCAGGAAACCAGCTGAGATAGTGTAAGTGGTGATAACATTGTGAACTGGCTCAGAGAGAGTGAACGTAGACCAGACCCCCTGCAGGCCATTGAGGGGACAAGCACCAACACGAACACAGGGTGGCAAGGGGGTCATACAGTGATAGAGCGGAAGATTGGGAGGAAGCTGGTCTGGATTGTTTGTGACCGCCACACCAACGAGTTGCCACCAGACACCCTGATCCAGGAGCTGGATGGCAAGACTTTCAAACAACAGATGGTCTGGTCCTCTTTGCAGATGTTGACTCTGCCACTGAGTTAGAAATAAATCCGAGCTTTGAAAAAATCACAGTTGGCCCTCCACCGTTGAGCTTGCACATACTCATTGACGACCTGAGTACTGACCAGTACTATGGTTACATGATTTGCAGTGCCATCAAAAACTGGGTCATGCCTGATAGATTCTTGCTTACCCGCAGATAGGTCCAGTCTCACATTTGCGGTGGCTCTCACAACGGCTCTCAGGTTCTGCAGAATTTGGGTCGCTCATCATAAACTGAAAGGGGAACCAGCTTCACAACCTGAGACTCTATTGTCCACCATCGTGAGTGTCTACTTGCCAAATTGGTTCAAACACCAAGGTCAAGCTTCATCACCCTCCGAAGGTCCGAGGCAAGTTCTCTTCCAGCTTGAGCCCTGAGGAGTCAGCCAAGGAAGGCTGTTCAGATTGGTGGAGTTGGTGAATGTGACGAGATTCCTCCTTCTGGTATGCTCATCCTGAGGCAGTGTTCTGCAGACAATGCTCTGCAGTAAGGGATGAGAGGAGTATAAAGAGTGGTGCAGTCAAAGATCTTGATACGAGACTTAAGTGAGAGATCTGGGCATGACGACCAGTTGGTGACGATTCTTCAGGGTCAGGAAGACTCCCTGAAGTCAATCTAGGTGCCAAGACCCTCACTGATCTCATAGATCTGGATAAACATCCAGAGGCCGGCAGTGCGAGTCCTCCTACCTGCAGCCTCACCAATGTTCGTCAGAGCTTTCCTGACAACCCCATGCATGTCCTCGCACACCCAGAGTATAAAGGTTGTGTACAGCAAGTGAGCTGAGGTCAGCAGTCAGTGTACAGCCAGGAGAGGAGGGAAGGCTACATCCGAGCTCAGGTGGTCAGCAGGGAGGTGATGAGTAGAAACAGAAGCAAGAAAGACATGTTCTCTATGGTGAGCAGCAACACCGGGTCGTAGTAGCAAAACCTGGTTTTGTATTTGATGGATTTTGTTTTCTAAAATGTGGAATATTAAATTCCCTGAATAAATGTCAAGATCATTCGTTTCCTTTAACACTATTCTGACCATTGCAACTTAATAAACAACCTGGATATTAATACTTTACCTAAATAAAACTATTTAGCGGTGTTGCAAAAGGTGGAATACTGAATTTTCATAAGATTATAAAGAACCACGATGACATTGCCACCCTACTACCCACCCATCCCATTAAACACCCTTAGTAAAACGAGCATTAAAAGGTTACAAACAGTACAAAATATAGCCCTCAGATTTATATATAACATAAAATATACAGACCACATCAATTGTAAACGCCTTAGTTAAGGACGTTCAGGTGACGGGCAAGTCGAAGGGAATGATTGAAACCCGTCTTTTGACGCATTCAATATTTATTGATGTGGTCAAAACCTGCAGACAACAAGGCATTCATTAGTATTACATGGTGATCTATCTGATACATAATTAGTTGGTCTCACATAATTTATCTTAATTATAATTGATTATTGAGCATAATGACATGATACAAAGTTCATAACTATTAATCTTAGCTACACTTCATTCCGCGTTGTCGTATTGCTCCAGATAAGGCAGGAACGAGTGGGCATAATTAGTCCACAATATTTCATTACTGAGGGGTATGTCATTACTTTGGCTGTACTTACAAGTGCGGGTCAATGCGAACCAGTATGGTGTTTCAAGGGAAGATAGTTCTGTGTAAATTGTTTCAGTACAAAACTCGGCCAGGAATGGGAGTTGTTGTATCCACTGCTAACAGTGTTGATCCTCACAGCCTCACTTGAGGGGGCAGTCTCCTGGAGTCCAGGTGGCCACACCGCCTTTTAAATCATACATTAGCAGAGTCATGATCTCTTCTCCGTAAACACCGCCCACCCCTTAATCTTTGTCGGATAAGGCAGCAAAAACGTCAGCACTGACACTAGTGTTGACGCCAGCGATGAAACACTCCCGGCGATGACAGCACTTACGCCAGTAGTGATGACAGTCCCGGTGGTACAGAGTCCAGGTGGCCACGCCGCCGTAAACACCGCTTATCTTTGTTCGGGTAAGGCAGCAAAAACGTCAGCACTGACGCCAGTGGTGAAAACACTCCCGGCGATGCTAGCACTTACGCCAGTGGCGATGACACGCCCGGCGGTAAACACCGCCCCCCCCCCACCGTCAGCTGCCACATCTTTCGAGGCAACAGGTCGCGTGGTGGGGGGAGGGGGGGGGATCACTCGAGAGGGCTATCTGTGTCATGAGATCCATGACGCCCTCTCAGCGCTCATGCCAGTGGTTATGACACTCCAGTGGTAAACACCGCCCCCCCCCCAGTCGCTACCTCTGGTGTGGTAAGAGGCCGCGTGTGGGGTGGGGGAGGCACATGGTTGTTGACACCAACGATAAAGCCAGCGGCGATAACACTCCCGGCGTTGTGCAATCGCCCAAGATTTACGGTGTGGCGTGTTCAAGAAGGCATACACGGGTCACTGGCCTTCGGAACTCCCCAGATACTATTTGCACACGTACCTGGCTCACCAGACCATCAGCTCCTGGGACCACTGCCGTGACCCTGCCCAATGGCCATTTGTTGCAGGAAGATTTTCCCCAGTGACGAGGACGAGGTCGCCTTCCTGTAGATTTCTGGTTAGTTCTATGTACTTCTGTCTTTTGTGGAGTAGTGGAAGGTACTCCCTCACCCAGCGTTTCCACAAGCGGTCTGCTAGGAACTGCACGTGCCGCCACTGTCGTTGATATGAGTCCTTCAGAAGACATCCTCCTAGTGACAGATCAGCGTGTGGGGCACCATGGAAGATGTGGGCTGGTGTAAGCGCTTCCAGGTCCCTCACGTTGCTTGAGGCAGGGGTGATTGGTCGATTATTTATGATTGCTTCCACTTCACAAAATAGCGTCTGCAGTCGATATTCATCCGGGAGTTGGGTTCCCACAATTGCTCTGAGAACCTTTCTGACTGTTCGGATTTGCCGTTCCCAGACTCCTCCCATGTGTGAAGCCGCTGGAGGGTTGAATACCCATTCTATATCTCTTCTGAAAGTGTCTGTTTATGCGTTCATCATTCCTCCAACTACGCACTGCCGCACAGAGTTCTTTGCAAGTCCCGACCATGTTGGTGCCATTGTCTGAACGGATACGTTTCGGATTCGTACCCTTTCTCGCGATGAAGCGGAGAGTAGCGTTTAGGAGTGCATCTGTATCTAGAGACTCCAACACCTCCAGGTTCACTGCACAGTAGCTAGACAGGTGAATATGCAGCCATATCTCTTGGTACTCTTTCGTCCTTGTCTTACTGTGAATGGGCCAAAGCACTCAGTGCCAGTGTAAGTGAAGGGACGCTCCCCGGGCTTGGTCCGGTCTTCGTGCAGCATGGCATCCCTTTGCCTAGTGGGCTTCCATTTGTTACGACGGCAAGTGACACACTCCTTTATTATCTTATCGAGCAGAGGGTGGCAACGGGCTATCCAGAACTCACACCGGAGTATAGACAGTGCATGTTCTCCCAGAATGACCAGCGCCCACCGCGTGTGCTTCCCGTGCTATAAGTTTGGTTACTGGGTGGTCTCTGGGCAGTAGTATTGGTCCAGTTCTTTCTTTGGCATCTTGTAACCTTCCTCCTACTCTCAGCAGCCAGTCTTGGCCTAGATATGGCTCTAGTCGGTACAGTTTACTTTGTCGTGGCAGTTTTCGGTGCTGCAGGAGGCTCATCTCCTCACCATAGGCCTCCTGTTGCAGGAACCGAATAATGGCCCACTTGGAATTCCGCAGTTCAGGCAATTCCAGCGGCTTTGATGTTGCACCCTGAAAGTCGTGTCTCAGGATGCTGGATACTCGCCTGATCCAGGATACACCTCACTGCAGCGCATGCCATGATGAGTACCTGTTTCATAGCAGCTTCATGATGGCATCAGCATTATTTCCTGCTGTGGCTAATGACACCGCCTCGAGCTTAACCTCAGGATCGTTCTCAAGTTCGTGTCTGATTTCCGGTTTTTTCGGCCAGTACTTCTCAGGTAGAGACAAAAAAGAAGGACCATCAATTCATCTGCATTCTTTTAACATGTCTTCAACAGGTATGCCTCTTGTAGCATCATCTGCTGGATTCCATCGTGATCGTACATGTCTCCATTGGGCCTTTTCCGTGACTTCATGTATAGCCGAGATCCTGTTGGCAACGAAGGTATGGAAAAGTTTCTCTAGGTTGCTGATGTACATGATCACAATCATACTGTCCGTCCAGAACACAGATTCTTCAAGTGGGACTCCAATTTCACGCTTGATTGTCTGGTCTACTCTTGTCGCCAGGACTGCTGCACAGAGTTCTAGCCTTGGGACCGTTAGCTGTTTGAGAGGGGCCAGACGAGCCTTGCCACAAACGAAAGAACATCTGGCAGTACTTTCATTATCTACTGTCCGTAGGTACGTTACAACTGCATAGGCCACTTGTGAGGCGTCACAGAAGTCATGGAGTTGCGATGAGGTGGCACAACCCAGGCCCCCAGGTCTGTAGCAGCGAGGAACTTTGAAGTTTCGCAGTGATTTCAAATCTTCAAGCCAGCGCAACCACTTATGAAGGGTTTGCTTGGTGATGTCTTCGTCCCAGTCCTTCTTCCGCCTGCATTCGTCTTGAAAAATGTGCTTGGCTTTGATGGTGAAAGGGCAGATGAATCCTAAAGGGTCGTACACCGAGCTTACCACTGCAAGTAAGCCCCTTTTTGTCGCTGGTTGGGTGGGAGCCTGAACCTTTGCTGCAAACTGGTCTCCATTTAGGTCCCACATGACTCGCAAAGCTCTCTCCGTGGGTAGGTCTTCACATCCCAGGTTCACTTCCTTCACTCCAGTATGTCGACTTTCAAGTGGTATCGTGTTGAGGACCTCTTTGTTGTTGCTGATCCATTTTGTGAGTTTGAAACCTCCCAGGGATGGAAGATGTCGCAACTGCCGAGATATCATAATTGCTTCTTTTGGTTCAGTTACTGACAGGAGCAGGTCGTCAACATAGAAGTTTGATTTCGCTCTATTTGCGGCATCCGAGAACCCATCTCCGAAGTCTTGGAAGGTCCGTTGCAGAGCATAGGCCGCGCACGAGGGACTCCACACTCCTCCAAAGAGATGCACTGTCATCCTACATGTCATTGGCGTTTGTGTCAAATCTCCCCCTTCCCACCAGAGGAATCGTAAAGTGTCTCTGTGCTCGGGGTTTACCTTCACTTGATGGAACATTGCTTCGATGTCGGCCATCAGGGCGATCGGCTCTTGTCTAGACCGCATGAATACTCCAATCAATTTGTTGTTGAGGTCTGGTCCTTGGAGCACTTGGTTGTTGAGTGAAGTCTTTGTGAAGGCTGCTGCACAATCGAAGACGATCCGTACCTTGTCTGGTTTATTGGGGTTTAGTACTGGGTGATGAGGCAGGTACCAGCTATTTCCACCGGATTTCGATAATTGCCTTAGTGGCACCCTTTTGGCGAAGCCTTCATTGAATAATTTTTTCATCTCCTTGTACCGTCGTCTCAACCTTGTGTCCCTCGATAGGCGTTTCTTTAGTCCTAGTAAGCGACGCTCGGCGAGCGCTCTGTTGTCAGGTAGGCAGGGCGGTTGACGTCGGAATGGAATTGGGAATTGGTAGTGTCCCTGTACTCTCTGTCCAGTCGACGACCAAAGCTTGATGACCCGTTTATCCTCGACCAATGATGGGGAGCCATCTCCCGGGGTCTGGTGTAATGCTTCGATTTCCCAGAAGCGCCTCACCTGCTCTTCCAAACGAGTTTTTTCTGTAGAGGCAGTCAGCATGGAACATTCCGTTGTAAACCTGTGAGTTAAATTGCCCATCAGGGGCCCATTAATCGTCCAACCCAATCTTGTCCTTATTGCAAAAGGTGCTCCATCCGGCCCCGTCCGACACTCGAGGGGAGTCAGGGCATCTGGGCAATCTTGTCCAATCAGTAACTCAGACTCGAAGATGTCCCCAAGCATCTACAGTATGTCTAGGGGTGTAGCTGTTGAGTTTTCTAAAGAAGGTGGCAGTCTGTCAAGTACTAGTACCTTAGGAAGGGATATGGGGCACTTCGCTCCCCGGGTGTTAATGCCTCTTACTTCCAGATCTACTTCTGTGGTGTTACATTGTTCCCCTTGGGTTAACGTGTTTATGAAGAGTGATGTTGGTTTCCCTCGTATTCTCAGTCTTTCGACCAGTCCTTTGGCACAGTAAGACCTGTCGCTGCCTGTGTCCAGTAGCGCCGTAGTTCTCTCTGATCCTGTAAACCCCTTTGCCATTATTTGAACTTCTAGTATAGGGAGCGCGACCTTGTCTTGGCTTAGTCATTGATCTCGCCCTCTTACAGTAGTATCCACGTAATTCACATATGTCCTCTCTCCTTGCTTGTTGTCGGCTTGGTCGAACCGCCTCAGCTGATTGCCTTGGTCATCTTCTTGGGGCTCTCTCTTTCTATTCTTTCTTCCTCCGGTTCCACCACTCTGTTCTCTATCTTCGAAGTCACAGTCCTGGCTCTCTCTCTTGAATCCTCGGTCTTCCTAAACGTCAGCATCTACCCTATTCGATTTTATGATCTGGCGGCTGCTCCCACTTGCCTTCCTTGGCGGCACACCTGCCCCTTCCTTTGGCAGGTGGAGCCATCTTGAATGTGCCTTACCACACCCGTCGATGTCGCATGGGCGGAAGCCAGACATACAGTTGCTAGCTTGGTGCCGGCCCCTTAGGCACAAGAAGCAATAGCCCAACTCTTTGACTGTGTTCCTTTTTTCCATTTTTGTTAACTTCCGGAAGTTTGAGCATTGTGGCAGTCGATGAGGGCTATGACAAAGTGGACAATCTCGTTCTCCTACGTCGTTGGTCACAAGAGTCATGGCTTGTTTGCTAGATCGGTCTTTTCCCTCGTACCCCAGGTTAGTGTATCGAGTATGCGTCATTTTTGCCTCCTTCGCTCTGCTTTGTATGAACTGCCAGATGTCCCTTATTTTCATGTGGCCATATCTCTTTGGAGGGTGATCGAGGACTGCAATCTCACACCTTTCTTGTAAAAGACCAAGAAGTCTGTCAATTATGCCTTTTTTTACGAGGAGATGCTCGAGGGTTTCTTGTGAGTCCATGGACTGGAAGCTGCAAATGCACGCCTGAAGTTCGTCGGCCAAGTCCTGCAGGCCTTCGCCGTTGGTTATTTTGACAGGTGGTCCGTTGATCAGGTTCATCAATAATTCTTCGATATGGGCGTCCTCCTCACCATACCGGTCCTTCAGGGTACTCAGTGCCTTTCTATAGCCCTCAGAGGACTTCATCCTGGTGAATGGGTTCAGAATATTCCGAATATTACTTGAACACGAGTGGATTAACATTTGAAGTTTCTCCGAATCTGGGGCAGTGGAGGTTTCCACGTATCTCTTGAAGCTATTCATGTAGTCCCAATATTCTCCACAGCTCCCCCCCCCCCCTTGAAAGTAGGGCTGCGCGCATTTCGCATGTGGTAGGATGACAACATATCCTTCAGTGAAGTTGAGGTGCTGCCGGATTCTTCCTTGACGCCCTACTTCTCTCTCCTTTCAGGCTGCTCCATTTCAACTCGTTGCACGTCTTCGTCTTTGTCGGTCGATTCCTCATGGCCCCTGGGGCGTCCAGTCATCACAGTGGGAGACTTGCCAAGAGTCCCTCCTGATGTTGTCTTCAGCCTGGGTTGGTCGCTCCCTTCGTCCAAACGTCGTGCTGTGTTCCCTTTCGCAAAATATGCATCCAGCATTTCAGTCACAGTTCGTCGTACTTCTGCCATTATGTTAGATCCGGGATTTTGGTCAGGTGCTAAGCATTCAGACTCAGGCAGAGGGTGGCCTCTTTCAGCTTCTGTGGCCGTAACATCGTGGTCGTTCAATTCTGGAGGTACAACTACTGCCTCTGGGTCTTGGTCACCTTCATCCATGTTCACATTTCTCTTTCGTTGCTCTTGATCCATTCCCGCTACCTCTGGTCCTCTTATTGAGAATTATTTTCAGCTCTGGTTAGGTCTCAAAGTTTGTTCGATGAACCACTGCTCACTGACTGTATTTGCATTCGGTTGTGTGGCTCGCTGCTTGTATGTATGTTTGACAATAGTTGGTCACTGTTGGTTGCTTATGGTGTTACAAGCGACACTTCACTGTCGGTTACTTACGGTGTTACAAGTGAATCACTGCAGGTTGTATACGGTGTCACAAATTGGGGTGATATTAAGTTAATTTAATCACACTTACCTCGTAATTCGTTAAGTAGGTTATTTGTGAACTCAAACCCGGTCAGCTTGCCTGAAACATGCATCACTGCGATAATTACCTGGGAGGTGGCCTATTTCAACAAAAGTGTGAGCCGGTTTGAGCCAAACAAACGTCAGCAGCACCATACGATTGAACTGAAAACTCTGCGAAAACCCCTGTAATATTTATACACTCCTCATTCAAACACGACACTGTTCCACGCGCCGTGACAAGCCCACCCAATTGCTGGGCAGGATGGCTGATGACTAGATCATGCTACCCACGCGAACTCTGGCGTTGGTGATGTGTCTTGTGGTCCTTTTTCTCTCCGTTAGTTGAGGCCCTTCTGATGCCCTCCTGCATTTGTTTTGATCGTAAAACGCCCTGAAGGTGACGCCCAGTGACGTAAAAGCTCAGCGAAATACTTTGAAACCTTGCCCGGCATGGCCCAATGTTTATTGGTAACAAACCCGTAGACAACAAGGCGTTCATTAGTATTACATGTGATCTATCTGATACACAATTAGCTAAGTTCTCACATAATTTATCTTAATTTATAATTGATTATAGAGCATGAATGACATGATACAAAGTTAATAACTCTATTAATCTTAGCTAGCACCTCATTCCATGTTGTCTTATTGCTCAGATAAGGCAGGAAACGAGTGCGCTAATTAGTCCACAACATTTCAGCAATTGAGAGGGTTATGTCATTACTTTCTATTGCACTTACAAGTGTGGGTCAATGCAACCAGTATGGTGTTTCCATGAAGAGTTCCGTGTAAACTTGGTTTCAGTACAAAACTCGGCCAGGATTGGGAGTTGCTGTTCACAAATCAAGCAAGCAGCCCCACTTGAGGTGGCAGTCTCTTGGAGTCCAAAGTAGACCACACCGCCTAGCAATGACAGTCGCAGTGGTAAGAGTCAGGTGGCCACGCCGCCGTAAACACCGCCATCCCTAATCTTTGTCGGGTAAGGCAGCAAAACGTCAGCACTGACACTACTAGTGTTGACGCCAGCGATGAAACACTCCCGGCGATGGCAGCACTTACGCCAGTAGTGACAGTCGGTGGTATAGAGTCAGGTGGCCACGCCGCCGTAAACACCTCTTATCTTTGTTCGGGTAAGGCAGCAAAAACGTCAGCACTTACGCCAGTGGCGATGACACTCCCAGCGGTAAACACCCCCCCCCCGTCAGCTGCCACATCTGTCGAGGCAACAGGTCGCGTGGTGGGGAAGGGGAGCACTCGAGAGGGCGATCTGTGTCATGAGATCCATGACGCCCTCACAGCGCTCACGCCAGTGGTAATGACACTCCGGTGGTATACACCGCCCCCCACCCAGTCGCTACCTCTGGTGTGGTAACAGGCCGCGTGTGGGGGGAGGCACATGGTTGTTGACACTAACGATAAATTCAGCGGCGATAACATCAATAACGAACAGCTACACAAGAGAGCAAACCTCCTAGCAATCAATGTAGAAATACACAACAAAGCCGCAAATATTTGGAACAAAGTGACTGAGCTCAACACAGAAACACAAAATTGGATAAATGATATAGACCAGGGGTTCTCAACCAGGAAATTCCCAGAGTCAGGTTTTCAGGGAGAATTCGGGAGCAAGAGATATGTTTGATGAAATCAATCACAGAATTTTGGCCTTGATGTGCGATTCCTACCCAAAAGTGGCAGAAAGAGCTATCCGTGCATTGCTTCCGTTTGTGTCGACATATCTTTGTGAGTCAGTTTTCAACTCTGTTGCAAATTAAAACAAACAACGTAGTAGATTAGAGGCAGAAAATGACCTGCGTTGTGTTTCAAAACTCCTCCGCGTATCCCAGAATTGGCGAAGAAAAAACAATCACAGGTTTCTCATGACTGTAATCTTCATCCGAATAAAATTAATTACAAATTTACAATGTCCTGGTATTCTATTGAATTTTTTTTTATTGCATTATGCTTCAGTTTGGTCTGTTAAGTAATTCATTACAAATATAAAACAACTATTTTACTTTATTCAAGTTTATAAATCCATCAACATTTTCAAGTGGCATTTAATTTGTAAAACTCCACTATAAAATAATCCATATAAAATTGTAAATGTATATGTACTAATATGGAAAAAATATAGGATTTTCAGTATTATATGCATATTATTTGGAATGCACTTTGAGGCAGACAATCTTGGAAAGGAGGGGGGAATGACATTCTGACATATGGTGAAAGGGGTGCATGGGGCAAACAAGGTTGAGAACCACTGATATAGACAATGAAGAATTCCAAGAACACAGTTGGTGAGTGAGTGTTGGTGAGTGGTGGTAAGTGAGAGGTGATAAGTGAGTGGTGATAGAGGAGTGGTGATAAGTGAGTGGTGGTGAGTGAGTGGTGGTGAGTGAGTGGTGGTGAGTGATTGAGTGAGTGAGTGGTAGTGAGTGTTGGTGAGTGAGTGGTGGGAGGTGGAGTGGTGGTGAGTGAGTGTTGGTGAGGTGGTGGTGGTGGGGTGGTATAAGAGAGTGATGGTAGGAGGTGAGTGGTGGTGAGGTGGTGAAAGTGGAGGAGGGGTGGTGGGTGAGTGGGCGAGGTGGTGGTGAGTGAGCGAGGTGGTGGTGGGTGAGGCGGAGTGGTGGTGGTGGTGGGTGAGCGAGTGGTGGTGATGGATGAGCGAGTGGTGGTGGTGGTGGGTGACGAGTGGTGGTGGTGGTGGTGGTGGGTGGCCAGTGGTGGTGGTGGTGGTGGGTGAGCGGAGTGGGGTGGTGGTGATGGGTGAGCGAGTGGGGTGGTGGTGGTGGTGGGTGAGCGAGTGGGGGTGGTGGTGGTGGGTGAGCGAGGTGGGGGTGGTGGTGGTGGGTGAGCGAGTGGGGTGGTGGTGGTGGGTGAGCGAGTGGTGGTGGTGGTGGTGGGTGAGGCGGTGGTGGTGGTGGTGGGTGAGGCAGTGGTGGTGGTGGGTGGGTGAGCGAGTGGTGGTGGTGGGTGGGTGAGGCGGGTGGTGGTGGTGGTGGGTGAGGCGAGTGGTGGTGGTGGTGGGTGAGCGAGTGTTGGTGGTGGTGGGTGAGCGAGTGGTGGTGGTGGTGGTGGGTGAGCGAGTGGTGGTGGTGGTGGTGGGTGAGCGAGTGGTGGTGGTGGTGGTGGTGGGTGGGGCAGGGGGTGGTGGTGGTGGTGGGTGGGCGAGTGGTGGTGGTGGTGGTGGGTGAGGCGAGTGGTGGGTGGGGTGGTGGTGGGTGAGGCAGTGGTGGTGGTGGTGGTGGTGGGTGAGCGAGTGGTGGTGGTGGTGGTGGGTGAGCAGTGGTGGTGGTGGTGGGTGAGCAGGTGGTGGTGGTGGGTGAGCAGTGGTGGTGGTGGTGGTGGTGGGTGAGCAGTGGTGGTGGTGGTGGGTGAGCTGGTGGTGGTGGGTGAGCGAGTGGGGTGGTGGGTGAGGCAGGTGGTGGTGGTGGGTGGGGCGAGGTGGTGGTGGTGAGTGAGGCGAGTGGGTGGTGGTGGGTGTGAGGCGAGTGGTGGTGGTGGGTGAGCAGGTGGTGGTGGTGGGTGAGCGATGGTGGTGGTGGGTGAGCGAGTGGTGGTGGTGGGTGAGCGAGTGGTGGTGGTGGGGTGAGCGAGTGGTGGTGGTGGGTGAGGCAGTGGTGGTGGTGTGAAGCGAGTGGTGGTGGTGGTGAGCGAGTGGTGGTGGTGGGGAGGCGAGTGGTGGTGGTGGTGGGAGGGAGTGGTGGTGGTGGTGGGAGGCTGAGTGGTGGTGGGAGGCGAGTGGTGGTGGAGGTGGGAGGCAGTGGTGGTGGTGGGAGGCGAGGTGGTGGTGGTGGGAGGCAGTGGTGGTGGTGGGAGAGTGGTGGTGGTGGGAGAGTGGTGGTGGTGGGAGGAGGCGAGTGGTGGTGGTGGGAGGAGGGTGGTGGGAGGTGGTGGGAGGGAGGCGAGTGGTGGTGGGTGGGAGAGGCAGTGGTGGTGGTGGGAGGCAGTGGGTGGTGGTGGGTGAGCGAGTGGTGGTGGGTGGGTGAGGAGTGGTGGTGGTGGGTGGGCGAGTGGGTGGGGTGGTGGGTGAGGCGGTGGTGGTGGTGGGTGAGCGAGGTGGTGGTGGTGGGTGAGCGAGTGGTGGTGGTGGTGGTGAGCAGTGGTGGTGGTGGGTGAGGTGGGTGAGTGGTGGTGGTGGGTGAGTGGGTGAGTGGTGGTGGTGGGTGAGTGGTGGTG